CTGCAATTCCAGTTTGCATTACATGTATTAAACCCAGAGATTCCCAGTGTTTTATCTTACTCTGAGTCTCCTCCTCAGCTGTCCAGCAGCTGGAAGAGATTATTACTTCCTCCTTTAATCTTGGGTTCTGAGAAGGAAACCAAATGTCCTCTTGGCTTCTGCAAGTCGTTGTGATTCCAAACATGGTACACAAGAGTTTGCAGTTGGACTATTTTTTGAAGGAACAAAATCACCTGTAGTTAAATAGCTGGGACCTAATTGTCTCCTCCATTGCTCAAATTGATGCAGAGCAGGGTGGCTTCAGCAAATGCCAAAAGTAAAACAAACAAAAAAACCACCCAAAAAGACGAATGCAAAAGAGATGCAGGGCTGTTTATTTCCTTTTAAAAGCATATCTTTAATTAGATGGCCAATACTTATCCCAGGTTGCTCAGAGCCCCATCCAGCTTGGCCTTGGACACTTCCAGGGATCCAGGGGCAGCCACAGCTTCTCTTGGCAACCTGTGCCAGGGCCTCCCCATCCTCACAGGGAAAAATTTCTTCCTCATATCTGATCTAAACCTTCTCTCCGTCATTGTGAAGCCACTGCCCCTTGTCCTGTCACTCCAGGCCCTTGTCAAGAGTCTCTCTACATCTTTCCCGTGGGTTCCCTTCAGGCACTTTAAAGGCACAGCAAGGTCACCCCAAAGCCTTCTCTTCTCCAGGCTGATCAGTCCCAATTCCCTCAGCCTTTCCTCCCAGCAGAGCTGCTCCATCCCTCTGATCCCCTTGGTGCCTCTCCTCTGCACTCTCTCTAGCAGCTCCCTGTCCTTCCTGTGCTGACCCCAGGGCTGGAAGCAGCCCTGCAGGGGGGGTCTCAGCAGAGTGAGGCAGAGGGGCAAAAACTTCCTCTCCCCTGCTGCCCATACTGGGGGCTCAGCCCAGCACGTGGGGGGATTCTGGATCCCAGCACTGGCACTGGTGCTGGCCCTTGCTCTGAACATGGTCTCGGGCGATGCTGGAGCCACACAGTTCATGGACCTGAGCTTTGTGTACCTGCAGCTGAGCTTATCCTGTACATGTGAATTATCAGAAAGCCTTTTTTTTCCCCTTTTTTTCCCCTTTCCCTTCATGGTACTGAATCCTTCATATGATTTCTGCAGCCATTTGTGTTGGTAAGAGTTAGCTCCAGCAGGAGGGACGCTTTCTGTCATTGCATAGGACTGATGTGTCTTGTGTCAAGACCCTAAAGAAGATGCCAACCTCTCTTAGACTCTCAGCAAAGCATGGGGTGCTCTGGTGACCCTTTTGAGACATTTGTCTGTTTGATCCCCTTTGTGTTGCTATCCAGAATTTCAAACAGAGCTTAATGAATCATGAAGCTGTTGCAGGGGCTGTTGCAGGACATGGGTAGATGGCATTCTTCCTGATACATCTTCCCCTAGCTTTGAAGTTGGTCCTGCACTCATCTAAGAGGTTGGATTCAAACCTTCCAACAGTCCTTTCCCTTCTAAATGCCTCCATAGAAACAGAGATATTATTAAGTTTCAAATTACCTGTGAGGAAGCAGAAAATGAGGTAAACTCAGCAAAATGTTTCCTATTCTTCATAGGGGTGTGAGGCTTATCCAGCATCTCTTGTCCCCAAAATTCCTGGGAGATTTTTCATTCCCCAAGCTGAGAGCACAGAGTGGGAAGGGAGCATTGGAAGTGCCCATGCCTCCCAGGACACCTGGACCCTTCCCAGGCAAGAATTACAATCTGAATTACACAAAGGTCTACAAAAATTTGAAGTGTACCAATACATACTCTGGTTCTAGAGGTGAATAAAAACTAGGTTTGGAGGAGGAGTTAACACAGGGTTTCTGAATCAAGGAAAAAACCAAATGTTAAGAGGGATTTAGAGTCAAAACACTACCAAAAATGTAAAAAATTTTATTTTATGAATACATTAAACTATTGTGCGCAGCACATACATATAAAAATAGAAGCAATTTCACAAACAAATGATTGGACAGTTTTAGGTTTCTTGCAAATTTACAGTCTCAATTGTGAGTCCATATTGAGTCAGAATATGAGGTATATTTTAGTGAAAAAAAGTAATCTGAGAACTTTGGTACCATTTTACTGTGCAAAATAAAATCTTGGAATTGAAATAGTGAGGTATACAAATATTACTCTGCTTTTTCCACTGTGTGTGTGTCTGTGTCTCTGCATGTCTGGGAAAAAATGCATTTATTTAAGAACATTATTCAGTTCCAGCCAAATCTGCTTTCTAACGGGATGAATTAAGTCCTAGAATGTTATGGGGTTTGCCTGAGGAAGGAGAAACTGTAAAAATAGGCATTTACTCCACAGAAGAATCTCATGTGCAAAATGTGGGCATGACAGGCTGGTGTGGAGCATTCACAAGCAATGCTTTCAAAGCTCAGCCCATGGCATGACCCCTGTTAATCCACACTTGAGATGAGATATGTTCTGAAGTTCCTACTTTGGCCCTGATTTGGGAAATTTCTTTAGTTTAATGAGTTTTCTTTATATAGTCACATACCCTTCTTTGATTTCAGCTGTGACTTCCATGTTGATCTGGCTGGCATTGAGGTGTAATGAGGAAAAAAACAGTGATGTAAAGAGTAACTCAGCAGAGTGACTGATGGGGCTCTCCAAATGCCCACCAAAATTGCATCCAAAAGGGTCTGCAGTTCCTAAGAGCAGTCTCAGCCTAGCAGGCTGTGCCTGAACAGATTTATAGAATCACAGAATGACTGAAGTTGGAAAACACCTCCACGATCATCAAGTCCAACCTTTGACAAATCCCCACCTTGTCAACCAGACCAGAGCCACATCCAGTCATTTCCTGAACACTTCCAGGGATGGTGATTCCAGCACCTCTCTGGGCAGCCTATTCCAATGCCTGACCACCCTTTCAGTGAAGAAATTCTTCCTGATGTCCAACCTGAACCTCCCCTGGCACAGCTTGAGGCTGTCTCCCTCTTGTCCTGATTTCTTGTGACCTGGTCTACAGGTTGTCCTCGCTTGACCAGTGTGTGCAAAATGGAGCCAGTCTGATTCCCACCTTTTGTTCTAGCTGTCCCAATGCTTATCAGTCTTGGCAACAATCACTTTCTCCAGGCTGCTCTGGTTTAAGAGGGAACAGACTTTATCCTGTCATAAGGATGCTGGATTAAGCTGTGATCAGAAACAAATTTGTGTGCTAGCATTTGAACTCTGTTTCCTTCCACATCCCTGGACTCTTCCATACTTCTTCAAACTTAATTTCAAAGACAATTAGGAATATAACACCAGGATACAGGCTGCCAGCTAATCTCTCTGTACCTCTAGGGACTCTAGGCCAATCTACTGCCTGATACCCTCCAAACTTTTCTTTGACCCATTCTCTCCCCATTCAAAACATCCTGATTTTTCACTTCAAATGCATATTTTTCCAAAGCAAACTGCTGCACACGTTGTGGGTGAACAAAGTGTGTCATCTTGCTTTCTTTCTGAAATACTGCAAGACCAGAAAAGGAAGAGCAATTCCTTTCAACTCCTTTCCTTCCAAAGCATCCTCCAAAGCATCCCATTCCTGTACTGTGAGCAGCATTCCACTCTTTTTTTATCTCTTCATTTACACTGTGATCATCACTTACATTTGAACCAGATAAATCCAAGTATAAGTCATACTAGAGATGTTGAAAAACTGTATCTTGTTCACAAAACAATTGCCTTGACAGTTTCTTGGGAATGGTGGCAGTGGATACATCCTTGTGGGTATGTCCTTTGGGCCAAATTGTCTGCAGCTATAAACTGATAGTTTTCCTGGGCTGATTTACTTCAGCTGAGGATCTGGCCCTGACAGTGTCTCTCATGCATGTCAGAAGGCTCAAATTCATCATGAATAGACAGCCCCTGCAAATAGAATGGCATGTCAAGGCTGGACCGAGCCCCATTTTGGCTGGACATGGGAGATAATCTTGCACTCAGATATTCACTTCTGCAGCAGCATGGTCCATCTATGCTGAAAATGCTCATGCTCTGACATTACATTGAATCTAGTTTCAAATTTAGGAGCACGCCACCAATGCAGGAATCCCAAGGCTTCTGGTAACTGACATTTATAGTGACTATTGACTTAGGGCCTCTTAAAATACTCTTTCAAACACACAGAGAATGCAGCCTCATTGGTGATCTGGAAAAGGGTTGTCAAAATAGCAAGGCAAGGTTATGTGCCATTTGTACAGCTTCTAGGAGAGCTTTGAAGAGTGTTTCATACAGCTTGCTGTGTTGTCTTTGAAACCGATGCTTTGCAATTGACAGAAATGGGAATTACGGCATGAATTCCTCTCTCCCAACATGGGAGAGTATGCTTGTGTAGCCTTGTTTCTCTGTCCTTCATACCTCAGGGAGGTATGATAGAGAAGAACAAATATACGTAAGATAGTGAAAATTCAACAGAGTTTTCTAAAATAACCCTTTGCTGGAAGCTTCCATGAATTTCTTATCTTTTATAAAATGCATCCCACACACCAGTTCTAGTTCTTAGAGATCAACAACATTCAGGCTAAATGAGATGGAGTGCCTTTAAATATTTCTTTTCTTTTGCATAAAGGCACCTGGGCATCAGGAGACTGGCATAATTGATTCATTAAAACTATGTAGTTACATAGATGCACACTCATCATCCCATGTCTATATATATACAAATATTAATATTAAAGATGTACACATCTATATTTGAGATAAGTCTAAACTAAGCTCACAAAATGCCATTCAGAATCCTCAGCTCCAAATCAGTTTTGCATTTGGGACCCATCTATGATTTATCCTGTGGCCCTTCCCATGGGAAATTGATTGTACGTCTTCATTTTGCCAACCAGTCCATGTGAGGAGACCCTGGAGAATCCCTTCAGAGACAGAGGGGCTCCAGGAACAGACAGTTTGCTTGTGTAGAAACAGTTGTGGAATTGGCAATTAGTGACCAAAACAGGTTGAGGACTTTACAGGACAGGACACAGTCTGTAGAGGGGGGTACAGGCAGATATTCAGATGGAGTGAACTGCCTGAAGCTCTGGTGAAGCAAAATCATCTGGTGATTTGGCCCATGATATGTAAACAGTTCACTACAAGAGGTTATTATCTGAGGTAAATAATATTTAGTAAATCACCTATGATTGATTAGATGGTTACCCACAGCCATTCTTCATCTTCCAAAAACTTCCTTTGCACTCCAGCTTGCATTTTTCTCTGTACAGCACCGAAGGAGGCACACAGCCATGTAAAATTTGTATTGAGTAGAAAAGAAGCAACATTGTATTACCTATGCTATGTGATGAATCTAGTACAAATATTTTTATCCAAATATACACATACATCTAGAGATATCTTTTTTTTTTCAATGACCAGTATAAATACTTTACCTGGGAGGTTATTCCCCATGTGCAAAACGAAACAGCTTGTCCTGGGATTTAATCTTCTGTTTTGCTGGTGCTCATATTCTTGGTAAGAAGTGGGTCACTGTCATGGCAGGAGAAACCTTGTTCCCTCTCTTCACCCTGCCGTGTTTGCTCAGGGCTATGTAAGCGCCGTGGTGAACATTGGATTCATATGCGTTGTAGTTATTGGGCAGCAAGGTTTCCTTGAATTTGCACTCATCATGGAAAACAGCCTAAGGAACAGTAAGGGGAGGGGGTAGGGATACAAATCAGGTACAATCAATTTTCCACCAAGGCCCAGGTCATTTTTCTTCCTTGCATTTTTACACCAGGGCTTGTTGCAGTGTGTGACAGGTGGTGCCACAGCCACTGTGGCCAACAATAAATCTCCCTCCTTGGTGCTAATTTGGTGTCAGATGAACTCAGATGCCACCTGTCCAGATAATGGACTTTGTATTTCCTGTGGCAGATCGAGTTTATTCGTTATAAGTCATGGATTTCTTCATTTTATTTGCAAGTAATAATTGCTGTCAGCATTGCACCTTTTCACCCAAACAACAGCTTTATTTAACACGTCCCCACTGCCAGAAGTTCCATCATTTATAAAAAAAATTATATTCTGTCTGTTGAAACCTTCAGAGCTTTTCCAAACAGCAGTGTCCAGGGACAACTGCTTGCTTTAATAAGAGATTTGATTAGCAATAAATAATTTGTTTTTTAAACCATTAGTAATATTTAACTATGCTGCTGGTTCTAATCTGGGAAAATAGTTTTAATATCGTCCATGTCAAAACAAGAAAATCTAAGGAGGGGGAGTTATCTGAGAGAGGAGGTGCAAGGACAAGCAGGAGACAAATGCAGAGGAAATTAAAGGAGAAAGCAGAATAATTCTCTGACTTCAAATATCTAGCACATGAGATGCCACCAATGCAGTTCTATTTGGGCATCTGTGTGATAATACCATCCAAAACCCGTAAAAGTTTGACTTAGGGCATTGTCTGTGCAGGGAAAATGCACACCTCTTACAGCTTTTGAAAGTGTCTTTGAAAATAAACAAAACTGTATTGAAAACGGGGCAAAAAAATCAAAGGGCTTTCTGAAGCCAGACCCTGTACTTCTTTAGAAAGACCCAGCTAAATAATGCAGTTGGACTTGTGGCACTTTTTAGGTGCTTGTGATCACTTGTGATTGAAAGAATATTCCTGAAGTGGGACCTTAAAGTGTCCTACTGTCATTATGAGTGTGAGAAAGAAACAGGTTAGTAATGGCCACAGGTCCCTCACAACATTAGGCATTATTTTAAACCACTGCAATGCTTTGTTGAAATGACAGCTGTTGCAAAGGAAAGGACTCTGCTGTTCCTTGACAAAAGAGATTGATACAACCAGTGCTATTCATTACTTTGAGGTGGGCTGATTTTGCCTATTGCCCAGGGCCAGCCTCTTTCAAATGCGCCTCCTGACAAGCACTTTTTCTGCTGGATATTGACACTGGAGATGTGTTGCTCCCATCTCAGAGGTTAAACAGCATTTAGATAGCAAACCATCTAGATGAGGATGATGGTGTTTCAGTATGATTTGCATGCCATTGTTAATAGTTATTATTATTTTCTCACCCTTTGCAACTGGTCTCACAAAACTGATCATTAAAATAACCGCAGCCACACGTGTTGACCTTGTAGGGTAGACTTCCTATTTATTCTTGATGGTGTGGTTGTTTTTGGTAGGAAGGAGCATGTGGTCATTACTTTACTAAGAGTAGCTGTTGAAAATAGCTATAATTGTGCCTCTCCTACCACAATGCAATGCAGGATGGAATCAGTGGGGCTCAGCTTTGCTACAATGTGTATGCAGCCCTGTGACCTTAGAAGAAGCCATCTAATTAATCTGTACTATTTGCAGAATATGTTCATTTTCCTAAGGTGTCCCCTGTACAGTCTTACAGGAAAGCTTTAAAATCCCAGCCCTGTAACAGCCATGCTACTTGTTGCATTAAATAGCATTGATGACAGCAGGCTGAGCAGGCTCTCTGTAACAGGAGGGCTATTTTCTCTGCTTGTAATCAGAGATTTCCATAAGGAAAAGACTGAAACAAACAAAACCAAAACAAACTAAACCCAAACAAACAAAGCAAAACGCTAAACCAAACAAAACCACTACAAAACCTTTGTTTAAACTGTGAAAAACTACTTGGACTTGTACTTACCGTCCCATACAACCTGCCTTTGCTGTTCATTGCAATGAAGAGAGCACTTTTCACACCGAGCAGACTTACAACTCCTCTTTCTACAGTGGATATTTCAAAGAGACCTGGAAAACATGAAGTTTAATAGGAGTGTTATCACAGAATCTACAGCTAATGGAAGGCATTTCAGATATCTGTTTTTTTTATAAACCCTAACAAACTTGTAATATATTATTTATAAGAATTAACTCCCTAATGCAGCAAAATAAATATACACAGAGAAGATCTTGGGTTTTTCTAAATGCCACAGGATTTGAAAATAATTATTCTAGAATTGTAGTCACATTCTTTATAAGCCTTTTGCTCTATCAAACTCTTTTGATCTGTCAAACTCTGGACCTTTTCAATAAAAAATAATTTTTATGTAATATGCTGTACTTTCAAAAGGTTTTCTACTGAAGTGTGGCTTGCATTTTAAGTCCCACATGACATTGCTGCAAAAGATTTTAGCAACTGCCCTCTACAGGAAATTCAAATCCACTTGACTAATGCTTTCCTTAATTCTTAGGGTAACAGAACAGCACCTACAAAAATTAACAAACCAGGACCAGCAAACCCCTTCCATGGGACACACTGAGTGTCCCAAAAATACTGGTCAGCTGGGATTCAAGAATCATGCTTTGGCACTCTGGACTCAGCAAAAACCTCCTGGATTCAAAAGGCAAATGAGAAGGTGAGAAGCAAGAAAATGCAGCAGAGAGTCACTTTTCGACCTGGTTTGTCTTTTCTCATCTGTGCAGCAAAGCAGGTAAAAATAAATTCTATCTAAATTCATCTAAGCATTTTGTGCCACTATTCAGCCAGAAGAGTTCTCATGTTTATTGATCCCAGAGACTTTAAAAGGCAACACATGTAGCACAGGTTAATAATATCAAGTCACAATATTTGCACTCTGTGAAGGGTAATTACTAGAGTTCACAGCAATTAAGTGACATCTATACTATTTCATTTCTGGATGCAACTCACTGTATTGGTTTTCATTGTGAACTCCGCTTATCCTTCCGTCTGGGAGGATTTGAAGGTGAAACCCGATGCCCACGTTGCAGTAAAGCCTCCGCTGCCTCTTGATTCCTAGCAAATAGTCACTCTCCCAGTTCACATCTGCCTTCTCCCCTGACATCCCAGCCATGGACCTGGACAGCAGAGATTGCCATCCTCTCTCCAGCAATGTGCCATTAGTTCTGCTTACAGCTGGGTGTGTGGCAGCAATCCCGGCTAGCAAACCCAGGAGAAGGAACGCAGGCAACGTCCGGTGAGTGCTGGCATTGCAGGACATAGTGATGAGAAGTCTTTGTGCCGTGGCCATCCGGTTCACCTCCTGGGCACGTGTTCAGAATTAATGGCCCTAAAAATACCGCCCTTCTTGGTTTTCTCCCTTCAGCATGGTGGCAGAGGCTTATTTTTGGAAAGCAAATAGAGCTTGCTGACCTGAAACTAAAGCCCGATAGCAGTTGGGTTGGGAGCAGAGACAGGCCAGCAGGACTCCAGCTGGTGGGGACCATGGTTTGTAGATCCTGCTTCCCGCTGGGCAGCCTCTGTTATATTTGATTGAGCCATCTTTATAGTGCAGGGGCTGTCCCTGCCCACATCATCACTCTGACATCAACAGCCTGCCCAAGGTGAGGCTGCCAGGGCTGTAACACAAACCTGCATCCTCCCTGCCTGCTGAGTTGGAGTGCTGTCAGCCAAGACGGAAGGCAGGAGTGGGATTTCATTGGCTGTGGAAAGCAAAGGAGTCAAATTGGTCAGGGAATCAGAGGCCTCACAGGCAGCTTCCTTATTTAGAGAAGAAGGTGTAAAAACAGTTCTGGACCTCATCAGTGAGCAATGAGAGGTTTGCAGCCACTTCCTTGGTGGCACGATCAGCGGGTGCTTGTCAGGGCACCTCGATACTCGGGGACAATTGTCTTGAGGGCACCACAGCCCTTTCTGTGCACACCCTGCAAAGCCAAGGCAACTCTTACTGAGTGACCCACCTGCTAACCTCTGTCTGTACCTCTGCAGCGAGTACTCCTGGCTGGCTAAAGGAGGGGTAAGCCATGCAGCAGGGACAGAAGCCCCAGCTCCTGCAGGTTTTATCCCAGTGGGAATTCTGCTGAGCAGGGCACACAGGCTGGAGCATTGATCTTGCAGTGACACGTAGATGGGAATATTAGGTCTTCCTGTTTTTCACTGAAGTGACTTCCAGACGATCCCATTTACCTGGGGAGGGTGTGTGCCTCCTGCAGGGGGGCAATAGTATTTGTAGGAGCAAGACAAGGACTTAGGTGATGTGTTAGATGAGGAAAAAGTGAGATGGCCACAGCTTCCCAGTGTTTCACTGTCTCTTTTCCTCAAGCCCAGATACTCACTATTTTATAACTTATGACCATCTTAATTTGCCTCCCCTTCCATTTGCTCAGACTGTCTTAATTGTTTCCCCTAATTTTCCACTGAAGCTGTTTCAGCTCCTTTGGAGTTGGACAGATTAGACTTTTATCTCAGTTAGTTTCACAGAACTTATCAAGACATAAGACAGAGGAAAATGGCTCAGATTTGTACAAATCCTTTTGTCAATATGTCTGTCAGCTTCTCATAGTACAGGCCTTGCATCTTCTGTGTCATTGATAAGCCTGCTAATGAGGGGAGTACGTGGAAGCAGAGTGTGACAGAGTTTCATATTAAGCAGCAGAGGTGCAATACGAGGCCTGGGACACTGCAGACTCCCTAGCATGAGCCCCATGAGGTGAAGGGGAGCCCCTGGTAGCCTTGAGGCAGGTGATCAGTCAGAGTCAGGGATGTATGTGAATATTGATTGCTCTCAGGAGACGGGCTCAGCTATAAAATTATAAAATAATTGGGAACCACAGGGCTAGGCCCTGGCTTGTACCAGGTGGCATTTCAAGGTCTCTGTGCCTTTGTTGAAGCTGAACTTGACTATCACAGAATCACAGAATAATCTGAGCTAGAATGAACCCGCTAGGATCATGCAAGTCCAATACCTGGCTCTGCATAGGACACCCCAGCAATCCCACCCTGTGTCTGAGAGCCTTGTCCAAACACTCCCTGAACTCTGGCAGGGTTGGGGTGGTGGCCAAAGTATATCTTTTGCTGACAAAGAAAATCCTCAGATCCTTTTCTTTTCTCTCCTGCTTTCTACTTCATCTGATGATTTTTTCATCTATATAAAGCACATATATAATTTTTAGGAAGGAATGATACTAGTATTTTACACCCTCTTATCATAGCTGCAGTCTTCATGAGAGGCCAGCATCACTGGGAAAAAAAGCCCAGGGTCCCTGTTACAAGCATGGAGCACTGATTTCCCAGTTTTTCTTATGCTGTAGTCTGAAACCTGCCCATTCCCAATGCATGTGACTCCTGGCAACACTTCCTGGTCTCAGAGCCATCACTGTAAAATCATGCATTGTAATATTTTCTTTCCTGTTTATTTTTCCCCCTAGAGAATTTTTCAAGTGTAATGGGTGCAGAGCTGGATTTCCATCCTCAGCTTTAATCACCTTTGCATCTTTATGTCTCATTCATTGGTTTTGACAGAGCAAAGACAAACCATGGGCTAACTGAGCTCCCCTAACTTTTGCTGGCACATCTGCCACTGTGGATTCCCCACAAGGTGTCCTGATGGACCAAGTTAAAGGAACACTTTGTAGGATGCACTGTGTCTCATCCCAGTAGCCTTGATCCTAGAAGTAAAACCAAATGGTCAGACACAAAACAAACAAACAAAGATAATTTCTGACAAGTCTATGGGATGCATTGATTTGTCTTTTAGTCAGTTCAGCTGGAAAATGACTGCTGGGAGCTGTGGTGACCCAGGAGACAGTTTTGCTCCAGAAGTTTCCTGCTGAGCAAGTCCATCTGACAGCATTCTGTATGGAAAGGGTGCACAGATTACTTGCTTGCAAAAATTCCAGACTTTTGTTGCCTTATCTGTAAACCAAACCAAATAGCTAAAATTTGTGATTTCACTGGGGCAGCTGGTCCTCTTAAGACCAGGAGTCCTGGTGTCTGGCCCCAGACCAAGTGTGTGCAGCTGGGAGATGAAGTGCATTCTGCAGTCTTGTGTACTGCTCAGCAATTCTGCATCAGAGTTGAAATGAGTCTTGAACCATTCTCCAGTTGGATCTGTGGCCAGCAGGTTGCTGAGTTTCTGTGTATTACCATTTGAACTGCCATGTAAATTCTTGAGCTTCTGATTCAATTAGACAAGTCTTGTTTGCTCTAAAATATGTCTCATTCTGCTTAAACTTGTCTTCTTGGTCCATGAAGTGACTGTTTCCAGAAAACACACTGTAACCTTCTGATTTTCAGGTACCATGTTGGCCTGGCTTCATGTGCCCAGTGAAATCTGGTAGGGAGACACCAATAACATTTGCAGTAAAATAAACCCTGTGAACTCCAAAATAGTAAAAATTTACTTCAGCAATCAAACTCTGCTTACTCCAGCTCTTAAGACCTGGGGTGACAGTGCTCACTGCCTAACTAAAGCAGCAAGTTTTCATTGTCAGTATTTCAGCACAATATTAAAATAACCCCTCTTTGGAGCACAGCAGTTCAGATCCACTTTCAGATAGTCTAAGAAAAGTCCTGCAGCTGAGCAGTAACATGATATGGATGCAGAGCATGTCTTTCAAAAAATGTGTGCTGACTTAGGTTCCTAAGTTCCATTTTCAAATCTGTTAAAATTCTCTCCCTATTTTAAGGTCTGTAAAGAGCAATCCCTCATTCAAACACAGAAGGATGGACTAAAATTGTTCACCTTGCCTGTGAAGACCCAAGCTGATGATGGACAGTGGAGAAGGAAGATTTCCAGGTGATAAATCTGCCCGTTGTGGCAGGGCAGGTGTTGCAGACTCTGGACAAATTGCATAAAAATCTGTAAGTCCAAGTATGACCATGGAGAGCCATCTGATCATCTTCAGGTTAATGGGGTTTGCTGGCCAGCGTGGAGAGATTTGTAACACAGATACCAGGACTGTTATGAATTAAATATGAATCACAATCTGAAAGCAGCATAAAAAAATAACAGAGCAAGAGTTGCAGAGCTGTATTGACACCCAAGGACCCCTCCAAACTGTAGAACTGGTAACACTGAAAAGGGTGTTGTTCCCTTGATGCCAACAACATCAGGCAACACTGATGTTGTTGGCATCAAGGCTAATTTGGATAGGACCACAGATTAGATCATTAATCAGCAGAAGACCTGAGCTCTAGTAGTAGGAGGACGACAGAAAGGGTTGTAGTACACTGTATTTGTTATTTCTCTTCCCACTACCCAACAGAGAGGCAGATTTGTTGTCACACTGATCCCCAAAGTGAATAAACAAGACAACAGACAGCAACCTTGCCTAAGAGCCTTGGCAGCTGATGAGCTCTTGGAGGCTGAAGCAAGCAAACTTCTGACCCAAAACTATACCTTCATTGCAGCTGCTGACTCCTAAAGCATGTACGAGACCTGCTCAAATATGGTTTGCCACCACCAGTCATGAGAAAGCCAAGATATTATCAAGAAACCTCCATTTTCTCACACACACAGAGGTCCTGGTTAGGCCACTCAGACACACCTGGGCAGGAGAGTGTGTAAATTTAACAGCTTAGAGTAATTGCAAATAATTATCTTCCCATTTCTCTACAGGGAAATCTCCCACTGAGATTTCACGTGTCAATTTCTTACAGACAAGCCCAAATCACAAAACAGCTTCCTGCTGTTTTCTTTTTGGAGGGAAGTGGAAAAAGAGATCTACTCCCACAAGGAACTCTGGAGGATTTAGGGCGAGGTGGATGCTAGCTTGCTTGGAAAAACATCTTGGTTTACTGCTTAATCATGCTGAACTCATTCTCTGCAGAGGTTATATCAAGCACCAAGACAGTCAAATATGCCCATCTTTGTTGTCCTGAGCTGGCCAGGTCTCCCTCCCCATGTCCCACAGAAATAGGAATGACTGTCAGAAAAGGGAGCGGTGACTCCACAGTGGACCTGTGGCTTCCCACCTGGTACTGTGCCCACCAGCCCACACTGCTTCTCTCATCACTTCCTCAGCTGTTCCCACTCCACAAGGACAGGCAGTATAAGGGTAAAAGGCTGAGGTGAAGAAAACAGAAGTGACAGCCACCACCCCCACAGGAATCTGCCTGGAGTTATTTATTAGGAGAGATGAATGACAAGGGACATGTTTAATTTTGTTTGTTTGTTCCGTGCACAATTTGCTCATTACAGCAGGAACGGGGATGCTAAATGCCACATTTAAGTAACATTTTGAGTAGGAAAGCAAAAAAACCTCTTGGTTTTTATTGTTGTTGGTGATG